TTTGGGAGTGCTTGAAGAAAAGAGTGTGATCTCCTTGACTCTGTCTATATCCTAAGGTCATCATAACCTTAGTAAACCTTCCAAACCAAGCACGAGGTGACTGTTTCAATCCATACAAGGCCTTTTTTAATCGACAAACTTTATTTTCCCCCTTCACAGAATCAAAACCAGGCGGGATTTCCATGTAGACTTCTTCTTCTAACTCACCATTGAGGAAAGCATTTTTCACATCAAATTGATTTATATCCCAATTGTAATGGGCAGCAAGGGACAACAAGATTCTCACTGTATTCATCTTTGCAACTGGAGCAAAGGTTTCTTCATAATCAATGCCATAGATTTGAGTGTAACCTTTGGCGACTAATCGAGCCTTGTATCTCTCAAGAGTGCCATCAGAATTATTTCTTTCCGTTGGGTCTATCAATAACCTCCCATGTTTTATTTTTCTCCAACGCATTCATCTCCTCTTGCATGGCTTGAGCCCAATTCCCATCTTTCAAAGCTTCATGTACTGATTTTGGGATTGAAGTAGAATCTAGTGCTGAAACAAAGCTTTTGTGCTGCACAGAAAGATTAGCAGAGGAAACAAAATGGGAGATAGGGTATTGAGTACAAGAGGGACAGGAAGAACAAGTTTTCTTGGAACAAGATCTTTTTCCTTTTCTTAAAGCAATGGGTAAATCATCTGAAGCAGTAGTAATGGGTAAGTCATCAGAAACAGTAGTAATGGGTAAGTCATCAGACGTATTAACATCATGATCAGAAATATGAGATTCAGGACTTACCAGTGGTTCAGACGATTGAGGTTGCTGTTGAGGCAATGTGGGCTGTTTCCTTCTTTGATATACCAATTCAGGTGTTACAATCTTCCGTATCTCTGGTGTATTTGATGTATCAGTCATAGGAGGATCAGTCACAGGAGGATCAGACATAGACACATTAGGAACAGGAACAAGAGGAAGAGACACTGACACAGGTGAAGAAGTAGACACTGAAGATTCAAAGAAGGAAGGTGATGAGTCTTCTGGTGAATTATTCTCCCCCTGAAGATGAGGACCTTGGAAAAAGGACTCAGATTCCTGAAATGTAACATCCATAGAAACAAAAAAATTTCGACTTCCAGGGTGATAGCACTTGTAGCCCTTCTTATCAGGAGCATAACCAAGGAAGACACATTTAAGAGCCCTAGGATCCAACTTACTGCGATGTTGTTTATGAATATGAACAAAGACAACACACCCAAACACTCGAGGAGGAAGACTTTGCAAAGTTGGAACAGAAGGAAAAAAAGAAGTCATGGAGTGAATAAGACTTACATGATCGAGAACCCGAGTGGGTAGACGATTGATCAAGAACGCTGCAGTAAGAATGGCATCTCCCCAATAGCATTTGGGTACATGTGTTTGAAACAGTAAGGCACGAGCAACTTCAAGAAGGTGACGATTTTTCCTTTCAGCAACCCCATTTTGTTGAGGGGTGTCTACACAAGTAAGTTCATGAATCATACCTTGATTTTGTATAAATTGGGAAAAAGAGTGATTGACATATTCAGTACCATTATCTGTCCTTAGTCTTTTGATATTTTTACAAAATTGAGTCTCAATCATTTTATAAAATTGAAAGAACAGTTGTGGTACCTCAGACTTTTCACGCATTAAGTAAACCCAAGTGACACGAGTGTAATCATCAATAAAAGAAACAAACCATTTATTTCCAGAAGAATGAGGGACCTTAGAAGGACCCCAAACATCAGAATGAATAAGATCAAAAGGTTCAACACTCTTAGTAATACTAGAAGGAAAAGACACACGATGATGCTTAGCAAATTCACAAACATCACAATGAAAAGACTCAACAGACTTAGACAAAAACAATGACGGGAATAAAGATTTGAGTAAACTAAATGGAGGATGACCCAAACGCTTATGATGCAGCCAAATTAAAGAATCAACAGTTGATTGGCCATGAGACATGAATGTGTGATCTATTACTTTATTTGTGGGAGATTGTGACACCAGATAGTACAGCCCACCTTGCTCTTTAGCACTACCAATCGTCTTCCCTGTGGCGAGATCCTTAAAAACACAATGGGTAGGGAAGAAGGTTACAGTACAATTCAAATCTTTTGTAATTTTGTGAATAGAAAGAAGATTCGTGGAGAGTTTAGGAACATGAAGAACATCCTTAAGATGTAAGGACTGCTGTAAGTTTATGTCACCAGAACCCGCAACTGATGTATGTGAGCCATCAACTATGGATATTGTATGAGTTCCAATGGTAGGATGATAAGAAATAAAGGAGTCAGCACAACAAGCCATATGATCAGTAGCACCAGAATCAACAACCCAAGAATGTTTAAAATCATTACATGAAGAAATGAAAGAATGAGTTTTGGAGCTCATACCAGTCATAGCCAAAGCACTAGTATCAGATGGCTTACTCAGATAATCAAGAATGGTTCGGAGTCGTTCCAACTCATCTGGACGAAATGCAGATTGGGTCTCATTAGGTGCAGGGGTTATTTCAGAAGAAGTAAAATGCGCTTGACCACGCATCCTTGCCATCTTTTCTAAGACAGTTTGCTTTCCATAAAGGCGAAAGCATAAATCCTTGATATGACCTGTTCTTTTACAATAAGAACACCATCGATCATTTCTCTTAGGTCTAGAAGAGGTACCATCATAAAATTTTGAAAAAGAACTCCTTTGAGAAGAGGCCATACTGCACAGCAAATGGTCAAAGAAAAGCTCCAAGAAGCCACAAAATCACAAACAAATACTAAACAACGTCAGATCTGACCGGAACAGTAACACAACGGCCGAAACAGTAACACAGTGACCGGAACAAATACCAAACAACGTCAGATCTGGTCGGAGGCAAGAAATTGGTGAAAGAACAAACTCCAAGAAGCCAAGAAATTCTGAAAAAAATACCAAACGATGTCCGATCAAAGTAGAGAGCACAGATCCAGAACCGGCTTGGAGAGACGATCAGAACCGTGGTGGTCCGCGGCCGAGAACCACCGTCACGCGCTGTCACACGCCGGTGAAGCTGGCGGCGCGTGGGATTCACGCGCAGAGACAAGGGCGGCGCGTGGAGGCGCGTCTGACCTCCGATGGTGCTGGGTTTTTCAGGCGAAGGTCGTCCGGCGAGCGCGATGGTTTCTGTGGCTGTTCGGAGTGAAGAATCCACCGGAAAAAGGTTCCAATCGCGATGAACAGGTTCTGTACGGTGGTTCTGTACGTTGATTCTGTGAACGTTTGTTTCTGGTTGTGTAATAGACAAGAAAAAGAAAGAGGAACAGTGAAGCAATGGTCTTCTCGGTCCAAGAGGTCCCCGGAAAAAATTTTCCGGTGGCGGCTGATGGCAGCGAGAGACGTAAAAAAGAATATAAAGGTTTCGTAGGCGTGGAAGCAGAGCCCTCTGGATCGAGAGCTTTGATACCAACTTGAAAGAAAAGGGTATTTTAAATATTATTGAATTGTGTATTAATATGATACAAAGAGGTCTCTATTTATAGAGACCAAAAACCCTAATTCTTGACCTAATGGGCTTGGCCCAATACAACAAATACTAATAATAATAAAAGACCTAATATTTACAACAAATGCCATTGATAAGTTGTTTATGGTTTCTATAACAATATTGTAACTTATTATCTTATTCAGTTATGGGACGTGACAAGAAGTCAAATACTGTCTGAAAGGAGGGAGCATGAGCGTCGGGTGTGGTCCATTGATTTCTCGGCAGCATACCCAACAATGTTTGCAAGTGGGAGCGATGACGGTTCTGTTAAGCTATGGAATATCAATCAGGCAATTCCATTTTTGCACTTGGTGGATGTCAGCTTTGAAACTAAACGTACTGCAGTCATCTATTGCATGTTTTATGTATTTAATGCTGGATGTATGATGAGTTGTTTCTCTCACCTGGGCTGTTACTGCAGGGAGCTAGTGTTTGTACCATCAGAACGAAGGCAAATGTATGCTGTGTTCAGTTCCCTCCAGATTCTGCTCGTTTCCTTGCATTTGGTTCAGCAGATCACCGAATATACTACTATGATATTCGCAACCTCCAAATGCCACTTTGTACATTAGTTGGACATAATAAGACCGTGAGCTACATCAAGTTTGTAGACACTGTGAACCTTGTCTCTGCATCCACAGATAACACTTTGAAGCTTTGGGATTTGTCTATGTGTGCATCTCGAGTTATAGACTCACCGATTCAATCATTCACGGGTCACATGAATGTTAAGGTACATTTGTTGATAACAGTAACTGGTGTCTTTACTGACATGAGTTTTCAATTGTATATGCCTAAGGGTTTGTTTTTTTATGGTCTTTCATGTATCATCCAGTAAACAATACCTAAAATTTGAGCAAATCACATAATGATGTACATGTCCATATAAAAATCTTCACTACAGCAATTTCGACGTTGTTTATTATTTCTTTTGTGATTTTGAATTATTTATTTTGCTTCAATAAGTCTCTATTGTAATTGTAAGTATGCAATCGTTGTACAGCCTTGCATTTCACTAGTGCTTGTTGTGTATATTGCTCTGGATTTGGATCCATAATAAGCCTTTACAAGAGTATCATTGAATGTTACCATTTTCTCTTGGCAGCTTTTTAGAACAAACTTGTCAAAAAATATATTATGATGTTGAGGATGGACACAAAATGTTCTTTTACTGATCAATGAGTTATACAAAGCATCTTGGGGCTGGCCTACTTGTGTGGGTGGGGGTGCAGTTGCAGTTAAACAATTTTTTTTTGTCCTTTTGCACCCCAAAACAATTTTTCCCCCTGATTACTATGTATAAATTTTAAAGCTAGCTCCCTCAAATAGATTTTGTTATTATCCCCTCCCCCTGTTAGTTGATTATTTTTCATCTTGTGTGTAGCTTTTAACCAACTCGGGGGCCTTCATCGGTTCATCCAAATCAATATTCACAGAGTTGGAAAAGAATTGTTAGTCATTTTGGACCTAGGAAGTTATAGAATTAATTATAAAGTAGCTATAGAATTAGTTAGGTGGTTATAATTGGAAGGACAAAGACTTAGCTTAAATAGTAGGAGGGGTAGAAGGGAGAGTGTTTCAGATTTGTTGCATGAGGAAAACATAGCAATGGATTATTTGTAATAAGAGAAACCCTTTGTTGAAGGGGAAGTCCCTTGAAGGAGAATTCTCTCCTTTTCTCTGATTGTGTTTCAGTCATCAATGGTGGAATTGTTCCTTTTTCCATTCTATCTTCGATATTTTTTCGCTGTTATCCGCGGGTTTGTAACACGTTGTAATCCTTAACCCAATGAATTAATATGATCTTTCTAGTAGTCCCCAATGGCCATAATTAGAACCTTTGCAATTTTTACTGTATGACAATGCCTGTTAAGTGTTCATAGACTAGTGTTATACACAGTTTCATCCTTTTGTGTCAATAGCTACTGAGATATTAGGACTTTTTCAGTTATCCTTGTTCATGGAGTAGCTTATCTTGTTCTTGATGTTTGAGATCCATATCCTGTTCATAAATAAAAGTTTATTATTAATATCCAAAAAAATATATGTATTCAATGTTTCAATTTTTGAGGGATCATATATTATCTTGCTGATGCAACTTTCCTTTTGTTGCAGAACTTTGTAGGATTGTCAGTATCCGACGGTTACATTGCTACTGGTTCAGAAACAAATGAGGTATTATTTCATGTAATCATGTTCTTTTCTATAAGTTTTCCTATTGATTTTTGCAGTACTACTGAAGGTAAAATCTTGTGTGTGTGCTATTAGGTGTTCATATACCACAAGGCCTTCCCTATGCCAGCATTGTCATTCAAGTTTCAGAACACAGACCCTAATTCTGGTCATGAAGTGGATGATGCTGCACAGTTTGTGTCTTCTGTTTGTTGGCGCGGTCAATCATCAACCTTACTTGCTGCAAATTCCACAGGGAATGTCAAGATTCTAGAGATGGTTTAAAGTTAAAGCCTCTCTACTCAGCAATCTTCAATATGATACAATGTTTGCTGTGCATGCATGCAGGCATTGAGGTGACAGAATCTTTGTTCAACATTAGCTTCTGTTGCCAGTAATTATATACAGATTGGTATACAAATTCCTTGATTATTACTTGTAAGTTGTAACATAACAAATTTTTGCATTATTGGATAAGAGAGAATGAGATTGATCTCGTGAAGGGGAGAAAAAAAGAAACCGGAAGTCCTGTAGATAAAGTGCTACATGGAGAAAGTAAAAGGTCAAAATCTATATCAGATTTTATTATGGTTTTGATCCATATTCAATTTTATAGATACATTTACCTACAGGGAAGCTACTTTTTTTTTTTTTTTTTTATGTAGAATTCGATGATATCTACACATAAAAATATATTGCTTTTATGTGCTCTATTGTGCCAAGCTCTGATTCCTTGAATGTTATGTGGCCATGTCGAAATTAGTCAATTAAATACAACTTCTTCTTTTTCTTGGTATGATCAATTGTTCATGTAATGTTTGACCGGAACAACGGTGGTTAGGTTAAGTTATTTAATTTAAATATTATTAAATAAATTGATAATTTTGAATGGCTATATTCTTATTTTCTTTATTGATTTTTAATGGCTATGTTCATGAGAGAAATATTATTGAATACATATGGGTTTGTAATTCATCTGTATTTTGACATTACGAGATGAATGAAGATACTATCTTAAACTTTGTTACTTAAAAAAAAAAGATTATTAGTGGCATTTAATAAACTCAAATCGATTTTATTATATGTTTAGATTCTAACAATCTACTATTTATCCTACACATATCCCAAGTTGAAGGTGGACAAAGCTTAAGTGTGACAAGTTAATTTTCTCCCTCCCCTTTGTCATTTTTGTCATTCATTTCCCCCCAATAAACCCAAAACAACCATTTACATATTCAATCATCAAACTAAAAACCCAACAATTGTTGGTTTAATAGCGTTCCAACTAAATCCCAAAATTTAACATGCCAAAAGATAGTGAGTTTAATTTTTGAGAGTCCCAACTCTTGGGGGAAGGTAGAGAAATTCAAATCGGAAATCCATGCACAAGATGAAAGGTAAAAAATGTTTCATAGCTATCAAAATTGACTCATATGATAGTGGATAGGAGTGTTCATCAACCGATCCAAACCGATTCAAACTGCGGTAACTGAACCGAAAAACCGATAACCGAATAAATGGAAAACCAAAAAATCGAAAACCGAAAAAAAATCGCAAATTTTAATTGGATTGGATTGATTTTTGAATGCATTGATGAAAACCGATCCATCCAAACTGATCCAATATATTAATTCTCTTTTATCTACTTGGGTCTTTCCCTAATCATACCCTAAAAATTTCTAAACCCAAGACTCATTATCCCATCAACTAAACCCAAGAAAAAATTTAGTCATATCTCATCAGCAAAATTTTATCTTTGTAGAGCTTCATATCTCATTGCCAAAAAAACAATACTATATTATAGTTTACTAATGCTTTTGTATTTCAAAAAAAAAATTACAAAGTCAATATATAGAAAAGACGTTATTTGCACAATAATCATGAAATAAATTTTAGAATTTTTAAAAAACCGAAAACCGATCCAATCCAAACCGAAAAAAATTGGATTGGATCGAATCGGATTTGAAAAAAAATACAAACCGAATGGATGATTATATTATTAAACCGAAGGGATTGAATCAGATGATTTTTGCTTCCAAAACCGATCTAATCCAAACCGCGAACACGCCTCACAGTGGATGCGGTAGATAAAAGTGGACGTGAGCCTTTTAGAGTTGGGATACAGTATGCCTGATCCAAATTCTGTTGTCTATAGGAAACATAAAGAACCTAATTCATGAATAATGAACATTAACAAAAAAAATTTAAATAAAATCTCTAAAATTCCGAGATCATGATGCTGCCAAAAAAATTGTGTAACCTCAATGAAATAGGGACCTACAAAAAGAAAGATGACCCTCATGCCATCTTTGATAATTTATATAGTGGCAACTATAGCTAAGTTCTTATATAAAATTGATATGCTCTCCAAATTATATTATGAATGAGGTGCAATTGCACTCCAACCTCATAAATTATCTACCCCTCCAATTGAGTGTCTAGCTATAAAAAAAATCACCATCTATGTGACTCTTCCATCTCCAACCATGAAAGTTCCCAATAGGATCTATATACACTGATCCGCACCAGATTTAGCCTTCAATGATAGTTCAGCTACAAGGCGATGAAGCCTTAGGGCTCCTGGACCAGGTTTGAGTTTATAAATGTTACCAACCTCAGAACATTTGGGTTTACCAGAGCACCAACCACCAAGTGTGAATAGTCCCTTTCTCTTACGTAGTAATTTTTTATCAATCAAGTCCAAGACTGGATCATCTTGCTTAAACTTTCTAGCAAAGGCAGCACCACTTTCAATCATTTTGTCTGTGTCATTGATATTAAGGACATGAGGATGCTGCTTAGGAGGGATGTCCCAGGAAATATAATGCAAGTCACTATTGACAAGGGTCTTAGCTAATTCTGGCGCATTGCATGCAACAGTCTGAAAGTAGCCTTCAGGTGATGAGAGAAAGTTAGTGTAGTACATGAGAAGGGTCCTTGGTAGATTATCCCAACCCCAGACAACATATTCGACAAAATCATATGATAAAACCATCCATGCTGAACCTGCATTGCAGCTACAATAATTCAACAAAAAATCTCTGGAAAGAAAAATAGATAATAATAAATGGGGGGAAACAATGGCAAGCCAGAAATTAGTCTTTTTGCAATTGGTGTGCACTAAAAATGTGAATGGTTCAACTTAAGATTAAGAAAATCTTGATCCAATAAGTTTTTGAAATACACATGCATATGTTGTACTTGTGCCTTAAGAAGCTGTGTCCTAGGAAGTAATTAAATGAAGCAGGTAACTTATTGAGGTACCAGAACCAATGTGATATCATCTTAACAATAAAAAAAAAAAAGTGTCTGCAACTACAACATATATTTGGTTAGATTCTCTTAGAAAACTATTATTCTCCAAATTCGCATAAGTGAACCTTTAGAAAAGTGGTCAATTAATCAATTGAATTATTACAAGGACAAAGAAATAAAGGTGCGAAGGGGAAAACTGACCTGTGAATAGTTTAAAAGCAGTTGGCAAAGCTCTCTTAGGATTGACCCAAAATACATCAGATTTGGTTGTCATGTAAAGCCCTGGGTCTATAATTAAAGGCATTGCTCGTTTATCCCTGCACATTATGGTTCAATTCATAGTTATGTATAAATCCAGGTTTCATATTATTCATATGTCAAGGTTGTTTATGTCATGGAAAAGTAGGGAAGTAAAAACTTACAGCTTCCATCCTAACCGACTTGTGTGCTCAATGAAGTTAAGGCTTTTATCTAAATCCGAAAAGGTATATAGTAAATCTGTACAATGATTTATACTCATATTAGTCTAACATTCATAGAGTAGAAAAGTTGCAATACTAAAAAGCTTGAATCAGAACAAAATACTAATACAAACAATTATATAAGGTAATAAACTAACCATCCTGAGTCACAAGAGGATAGTCTGAAGCACTGAGATTAATAAACCAGTCCCAGTCTTTACTTTTCTTGAGTAGAATAGCACAAGCATGAAGAGTATTAGCAACCATTGTTGGTCCTCTGTATGTGACCATGTTAGCCTTTGTAATTACAAAAACATTTCCAACCTTATTGAAGACAGCATGTCCTTCAATTCTGGATGCAAGCTCCAACCTTTCCTCTAGTGGAGATTCAAGGTCCAAATGAACAACATAAAGGTTTAATGGATGATAGAGTGCAAAAAGAGTTCTCCAAAGCTTTTCCAAATCACCTTTCGACCCCGAAATCAAATAAGCAAAACGGGGAATCGCAGGCCTAGCAGGAGATGGAGCAGGAGAAATCTTATTCTCCACAAAAACTCGAGCAGTTTGGTTTATGTGTACATGAGATGGTAGAAAGAAAAATGAATTGATGGAGTGAATTGAAGAGACAATACTAACGTTGAAGGATGTGGCTAAAATGAGCATGCATGCAGCAGAACTCAAAATGAGAGGAAATAACCATTTCTTCTCCATGTTTAAGAACCCCATCACTGAGAACTATCATGCATATTCATTCAATTCTCGCATTCTAGATTCCATGAATCACTGAAACATAAAATTTGCCAATTCACCATCAAGCATATTTGGTATCCTCTTTATACATATATATCTTCTCAGTGATCTCTGCCTTTGAATATTATCTGTTGAATCAACTTGAAATATTAAATTCAAGTAATTTATAGTATAGATATAAATAAAAAAATCAAGTTTTTTGGGGTCGTATTAATTATTAAATAAACAAAGTAATCATAGTTCCGTAGTCAAATTGGTTAAGCATCAAATAAAGAAACAGACAATTAAACAACCAAAACTCGAAGATTGCCAAATGTAGAGAAACGAGACAAACATGAGCATAAAAAAAGATCGACGAAAGTGTCCAAAGAACATTATAGTATTAAACAACTCCAGATTTTGTTCTTGTCAACGATGAGCTAAAAACAAAAGAGGGAAAAAAAAAACGGTTAAACGAAATCCATTATCATACAATAAATAGCTAGAAAAACAACGATCTAGCACAAATCGTTGAATTACTGGGATAAAAATCTAGATTTCAGCTCAAACAATGGTCTATAAATTTTATTTCTAACTGTTGTTTTAAAAACATTATCACGAAGAACAATAGATGTGTTCATCCAAAAACGCTTGAAGAGAAAACGATCATCAAAATAAAAAACTGAAAAAAAAAAACCCGCATAAAAAAATTTAATTTTTTTTATGCCCATTGAAACAGAAGAAATATATAACAACAAAGAGAAAGGAAATCTCCATGATGAAGAACATGAACAGAGAAAGTTAAGCTGAACTCAAATATGCAACAAATAAACCATAAATCTGTTGAGTTAATGACAGACAATATAGATCAAAGTGATGAAATCCTTAGAGAGACAATAAACATGAGAGACAAACCAGATTGTGATGCAAGACCCGTCCACGTCTAGGAACAAAGAATCAGGGGGAGAGAGAGAGAGAGAGAGAGAGGGTGTAGTGCATAACAACACATAAAAAGGTAAGATTCAGAGGGAGATTTATGAGAAAAGAGAAAGTAGTTTCTTTTGTTGAAACTTGTAAGGTGGACATTTGCTAGTTCCTACATTGTACGTGTCAGATAAAGTGGTTCCATTTCTTTATAGGGACTTCCTGTGCCACACCACAATGGAGAATATTTCCCTTTCTATAATACTAATAATATATCCTCCTCGGATTTGGGATTAGCTCATAAAATTAAAGTTTATGCAAATATTAAAAATTTTATTCACTTCAAATAAGTAATTATGGTTAATATCTAAAAATAATAATCTCCCCTCTTAATATAGGGACAAGATACTTTGAAACCAGTATCAAATTTTGAAATTTAATATCAAATTTTATCCGTTGATTTTCGTCAATCAACGATTATCATTTATTGAAAATTAATATCAATGAATAAGCTTGATTCCCAATAAGTGATAATCGTTGATTGATGGAAATCAAAGGTTAAGATTTGATGTCAAATTTTTAAATTTGATACCGATGTCAAAGGATAGTCCCCTTAAAATAAAAATACACATGTTATCAAAAAAAAAAAAAAAAAAATACACAATCATTTTATTATATTTGAAGAAGGATATACTTTTCACTACAAAAGTTTACCACACTTGTAACTAATCTAATTATCGCTTATTTTCCTCAATCTAATGGTTATAATTTATTAAAAATTATTAGGTCGATCTTATTAATTAATTCGCAATAAATCCAATAAATTATAAGCATTAAAATTGATAAAAATCATCGATGATTAAATCAGTTACAAGAATAATAAACTTTTGTGAGGATATTCTAACTACCAAAAATTCTTACTACTAACTTACTACCTATCACATTACCATTGGATCAAAGAGAGAGAATGTTAAAAAAAATTTAAAAAAAGAAAAATTGTTAATCTAATGGTTATTAGATAGGTAGTAAGTTAGTAGTGAAATTTTTTGATAGTGAGAATATCTCTCCTCATTTTCTTTACAAATTTTCTCCGTTTCATCATGTACTCTATTATTATTTTTTTTTATTTTTTTTGGATAACATTTACTCTGTTATCTTTAATCCCTCACGTCACTCCATTATAAGATCTTGTCATGTGATACAATCTGATCGTATATTTTTTTTTGGGTAAACATCTGATCGTATATTTTTTTTTTCCGGTAAACTCTGATCGTGTATATATATATATATATATATTTTTGTAATCAGATCGTATATTTTAAATCCACTGTTATATTCCTATTCATTCTATATAAATATTAATTAATATTTAATAATTAAGATCATAAAAAATATTTAATAAAAAATATTTTTAAAAATTTTTCTTCCTTGATAATTAATAATTAATATTAAATAACCTATATTATTTTTTTAAGTTTTTAATATTTCTATAGTTAATGTATATAAGTTATCTATATTCACTCCCAAAACAACGTCATTTTAGGTTGAAAGATTAAAAGATTTTAATGAGAAAGATTATTATAACCCAGAAATAAATTATAATTATAAACATACTTTTTTTTCAGTCCCAAAATAACATTATTTTAAGTTCAATGTGGATAATTTGTCTATATTGACTGCATAAAAAAACCCTTTTTTAAATATAAAACATACTTTGATCGTTTGAAGATATTATTCGTTTTGGAGGAAAATTTGGTTTTATTGAATTTATTATTATAAAAAGGTATCAATTTTTATTTTATATTTTAATTTTATATTTTTATTAAGTGAAATAAAAAATTACAAAATGAAAAGAATAATTTAGTTAAATATATATATATGTCTTTTAAAATTAAAAATATTTCGGTTTGGATCCTATTCCTTTTTTATTAAGTTTGAGCTCATATTTAGCAAAAAGATTGAATCAACCCAAATTTTTTTCTTGTTATTTGGTTATTAGACTCATTTTTCATGAAAGTGACATAAATCTGTATCAATTAATAATGAAATGAAAGAAAGAGATTTTCCAAATAAATGTATTATAGTGACTTGGTGAGAGACGGTGACATTGTGGTGATCTGATTCTTAATGAATGTTTCTTGACCACGAGTAAAAATGGGTATATGTTGTTTTCATGGATCATTATTTCATTATTCATTGTACCGTATTCGCTACACCGTTAGCCAGAATATATAAGATTGTATTATCACGGTGGTTGATTTAGGAATTTAATTTAACATAAACATTTCCTCAAAAGAAGAAAAATTATTTTTCTTAAAGAATGTGTTATGTCACAACAGACCATATATGAAATCAGTATAGACAGTAAATAATTGAGAGAAAAAAGAAAAACTAAATGAATGAGGTAGCATGTATAGAAGAAAAACAATGTAAATAAAACAACTCTTTCTCCTATATATGGTATAAGGGTTTGGTGTTTCTAGCATTATAAGAGATAAAATCTTCTCTTACATGTTATCAAAAAAAAAAAAAATCTTCTCTTACACATACATAAAAGTATGTAAAATTCATATTGATCATATGAATATAAGAGAGAGAATAAAATGTGGGTTCCACATATTTTTATATGTGTATAAGAGATAAAATCATCTCTTATAACATGAGAAATATTAAATCCGTTGATATAAACATTGATCCTTACTTAGTACCGAGTAACATGAAATTGTATGGCAAGAAAACTAGCCCTTTACTGCATTTTATTAGGGTTTAGAAAATATCTCGTTATTAAAGTGGCTTTAAAAAAAAAAACCACTAAAGAGTCTAAGAAAAAAAAAATGAAATATGACAAAAGAAATATTTTATTAAAAAAATATTTACATTTCTTTTTAAAAAGAGTAAATATCATTTTTGGTCCTCAGCAAATTTTACGATGCCCGCTTTAGTACCTAGCAAATAAAAAGGTCCATCGTGGTCCCTAAAAAATTTAAAAAAGACCCATATTAGTCCCTAAAAAGGAACTAATATGGGTCATTTTTAAATTTCTTAGGGACCACGATTTCAACTGAATTAGTCTATTTTGAATTTCTTAGAAACCACAATGAGCCTTTTTATTTACTAAGAATTAAAGCGAACATCGTAAAATTTGCTGAGGACCAAAAATGATATTTACTCTTTTAAAAATTTACAGTATTACATCCAAAGAAGGTAAACAAATGAAACGATTGCGAATATGCCACAAACTTGGAAGATTCTATCACATGGTCGCATAGACTCAATCACTAATGCGGATCTGATGGTCTTTCCCCGGCCGTCCGATCACTAATCAATCAAGCCTCGCATAGAGCTTCAATATACATTACAATACAAGAACTTTTCCTATCTCTCTTATCTCTATATTTTCTCCTAATTACTTTTTGTTTTACAACACTATATACTTTATAAAAATTCAAGTTTTTGTTTTTTGGAATTAATATTTACATTTTGAAAACTTTGACATTTTCTTTTATGGATAATTTAAAATTTTAATAAAAATATTAAATACATCTTAATTAGTATTTTATCATTATCTACAAAAAATTATACTAAAGCTAATCGGAATTGACTAATCAATGCCGTTGAATTTTATTTTTTGGTCGATAATGTATTTTATAGTTTGCGGTTAAGCCACACTTTTTAATGTCGATGTCCAGAAAGAGACCCCTCTTTGTAAGTCCAAAAATAAACCTTTATTACTGGTATAGTTGAGCAACCCTCTAATAAAATAAAATAACCACCCCAAATGACAATGAGAGAAATTTTCAAGTGTTATTAGTCTTATTTTATAACAGTGAATATTATTTCTAATTTTAATTGTAATTATATTTTTAATGTTATAAGTAGTGCAATAAGCGGAACTTGTTTAGTATGATGTATAAGGCCTGATAGTATAAACTTATATTATACTTTATGACATTTTTAATTATTTAGTGTGATCATTGTATAGTATAAAGTTATACAGTAGAATTCCTTTATACATCAAAATAATATATAACTTAATCAATAAGAGATTGGTGTATTAATGGAGGCGGTTAATTTGTAACCGCCTCAGTAGTATGCTAAATTTCAATCGATTGCCTAAAACGCCTACGAGTCCGCCTCTGAAAAAATATGGAGGCAGTTCTATTGCAACCGCCTCAGTTATTCCGTAGTAGTATATATTTTTTCTTGTAGTATAACATCGTTGATCAGTACAATTTTTAAAAATTAATATATAATTTTAATATATTGATATTAAAATAAAAATTAATTTTTCAATATATTAATATTAAAATATTGGATATTTTTATTTTTCTAAAAATTAATATTTTTTGGACACACTGAACAATATATTTTTGAAAAATTAATGTGATATGGCATTTTTAAAAAAAATATATAAATTCTTTATTAAATGGTATTTTTATTAAAAATATTTATTTTTATCTTGTCTAATATTATACAGTGCATTATCAAACACTGGATGATATTAATTTGTACAATATATTATCTTATATAATAGAATGCCAAATATTGAATAATATTAAAATTTAATCAGACCATATACAATGAGATCCTATATTATCAAATATTATACTATTAAACTTTGGGTTCGCTTTTTCTGCAGTTACTGCAGATAAGTTATCTGCCGTAAGCCCAATACGACGTCGTTTTGGGACGGAAATCAAGATATTTTTGTAATTTTAATTATTTTAGGGTTAAAATAATCTTTATATTTATAATTTTTTAAGATTTTAATACCAAAACGACGTCGTTTTAAGAATAAATACAGATAACATTTTTCCCTTAAACTTTATTCTATACTGTAGAGCAAACAATAAACATGCCGTAATAGTATAAAACATGATAACTAACGAATTTTCTAACAATGACCCAAATGCTAAATTAAGATCACTCCAGTACTGAGTGATTAGTTGTGGGGCTTTTATTGTTGCTTGTCC